ATTATATTAGAAATTTTTCTATTGTAAATATTATAATGAAGTATAATTTTAAATTATTGATGTTTAGTTTGCTGGAACTTATGGAAGTTTCGGTGCAGCTATACGTATTAATCCATGGGATTATCAAGTAAGTCCTATCAACTTTTAAATATACTATTTTTAATTTATAGTATGTATGTTTATATTTTAAATTTAAAGGAATGCGCCGCAGCTATTCATGAGGCTTTAATTATGAATGACGAAGATGCTACAACTAAATGGAAGGTTGGTGATTTAAAGTATTTTTTTCTGATTTAATGAAATCTAATTCATTTTATTTTTAATTAAGGAATTATACGCGTATGCCTCATTGAATAGTGCACAAAATTGGACGGCAAGTTTTGTTTCAGAACTTGAAAAGGTTCATAGTGATATGCAACGACGCTTTTCAATTCATATTCCTCATTTGAACCCAAGATCTTTTTTGGGAGAATTCAAACACGCTCAAAAAAGATTGTAATTATAATTAAAAATTTTTTTACTGTCTATATTCGTTTTATTCTAAATCTCACTCAATATTTCCAATTAGGATTTTGTTAGATTATGATGGTACGCTCGCAGCTTATGAAAAAGCCCCCAACACTAATGCTTCGACAAAACGTCTCGTTGGTCTGTTAACTAGACTTACAAGTGATTCACGTAACGTGGTATATGTAATGAGCGGAAGAACATTCGAAAGTTTAGAAGAACAATTGGGGGAAGTACCCAATTTAGGGATGAGGTATGCATTCTTTTTATAATACTAGTTTTTGAATATTATTACGCACTTACATCTGTCTATAATTTTTTTTAAAAAAGTGCTGAAAATGGTTCATATTTGAAATTAATCGGTGGTAAATGGGAAAATTTATTTACCGATTTGGATATGAGCTGGAGGGACCGAGTGGATGAGGTAATTAATAACATTTATGATTTCTTTTCGAGATGTTTAATTTACAGAGATAACGACATTAAAATTATAATAAATCAGATATTCGAGTATTATACTGAAAGAACTCCAGGATCGCTTATAGAAAAAAAGAATGTGTCAGTTGTTTGGGTAAGCATAAATTCAAATTTATTCCCTCTTTCATCCTTATTGCTAACATTTCATTATATGTCCATAGCACTATCGTACGGCCGATAATTCTAGTTATGGGTAAATTTCAATTAATTGAATACTCATTTGCAATTATTCTTATTGTAATTCTTTTCATTAAATTACCTTTCAATATATTTATTTATCAAAGCGCTTGGCAAGCTGCCGAATGTCAGAACCATATTCAAGACGCATTAGGAGCAACATATCCAATTCACGCAATTGCTGGAAATAAAAACATTGAGGTTATGCCACGTAATATCAACAAATCTGTTGCTGTTAGACAAATTCTTACAACAATAGAACCAGACTTTATTCTTTGTATGGGAGATGATCGAACAGATGAAGACATGTTCGAATTTGTAAATAAGTTGGAATATGTTAAAACAACAATAACTTGCACAGTTGGATCAAAGAGTAGCGAAGCAAAATGGTTTGTTAGTGGTGTATTAAGGTAATTATTTATTTCATATTTTGCTACTTTACTTAAAATTATACATATTAATTTTTAAATTTATACATAAATAAACGCAAAAGTGTATTAAG